AAGGCCCACAGCGAAAGGTTGAAACCCCTCAAAGACTGGGACTCACGCGCCTTCAAGGAGATTGAAGATGACCCAATGCTGCGGGAGGCAAGTTGGCAGTTTATGTGGGGCAACATGGCAGCTTACTCTCACATACTCCCTCACAGCCAACTCCAACTAGTATCATTCTAACTGTTACTATGATTACTCTTACTCTTACTATTACGATTGTACTGCAACCCTGAGAAGCAACCTTCGAGGCGATTGGTTCCGTATGTTAGCTGAAGGCAGATGCGGGTTTCCAGACATTAGGGTTTAGGGCCTAAAGGGTTTAGGGGACACCCTAGATGCGGGACTGAGTAGGAAAATGCCCAAGTGATAATTACAACCAGGTCATTTCCTGTATCCCCCCAAAGTTGTTACCATGGATAACAACCGTTGTCACAACACACCCACACAGTCTGGGGAACACATATTTCTGGAAGCCCCCAGATCCTAAACCCTAAACCCAATGCAGGAGGAAAAAGAAGCCGCAAAAAAAAAGAAAAACTCAACCCATTTCTGGAAGCCCCCAGATCCTAAACCTTAAGCCCTAAACCCTAAACCCATAAGGTGCGCGACGAAAAAAATAAATAAAATGGTAGTTTCCTAAAACAAGGGGACCCCAATATAGACCCCAAGAAACTATAATCCTAATTATGGGCACCCCAAAAAAGGTACCCCAATCTTGGGAAACCCTCATCCCCAGGCCCTAAACCTTGTATATGCCGCTGCAAAAAAAAACCTGTATATCCCTATATAACCCCTATAGAACCCCTATCAAGCCCGCTAAAGGTACCCCTAATATTGGGAAACTCCCATCTCCGGAACCCACCAGATCAGGGATCACACAGTGCCTGGCAGGGCCCGTTGGACGCGGAACATTTCTGCCTCGCTTTGCTTCCTTCCGTGCAGTGCCCTGAGGACCAATGTAACACCCAGAATCTTGGGAGGATCTAAAAATTAGATCCCCTATATAAAGTCATAATAACCCCTATATAGCCTTTACATAATTCCCACTGGTTTTCTAGGGCCAATGTACCATACATGAGCTATAGTCGAAACTATATAGGGGAAGGGTTTAGGGCTTAGAATTAGTCTAAGTTGAATCGGGGATTGTGGGTTATATAAGGGATTATATAGTGGACTACTATGAGTTATAGTCTAAACTATTTAGGGGATTGTATAGTTTGGGGTTTAGGGTGTAGGGTGTAAACTCCTTAAACGGGCGGTAATATAGGGGATGGTATAGTTGAGGGTTGAGGGTGTAGAGTCTAAACTCCTTAAAGGAGGGGTTATACAAGGGATTATGTAGGGGACTATGGAAGGGCTTACTAAGGGGGATACTAGGAGTTTAGACTGTACCATACATGCAGGGGAAATGCGAGTGTCTCAAATTGATACCTCTATGTTTCTTGGGGGCTACTCCACATTCTTATTGATCCCTAGGGCCCTAGGGTACCTCCACCTTTCAGAATCCCCAAACATCGGACGGAAGTTTAGCAGGATATCCTCCACGTGAAGTCATGCCAGAAGTACGTGCTGTCAGTATTCGAAGACACGGCAACACGAGTATCCCTGTGATCCCGAAACCTTCATGTTCCTTCGAGCACCTCTCGACCCCACACCCTGAACCCCATACCCGAGGCCCTCAAGACGAAATCGACTTACAGCTACGTAGGGCGTCAAGTTCCTTAGTGTACTAGTTCAAAAAGACATAATTGTCAAGCCAAACTGGCTCCCCGAGCCCTAAGTAGTTCTTCTAAATCTAAATGCCAAACCCTGAACCCTAAACCACCCCTATATAACCCCTATATTATCCCTATATGTTCCCTATATAACCCCTTTTTAGCCCCTATATACAGAGACAGGACTTCGCGAACATGGCTCGGAGCTACTCCGCCTGCCCCGGGACACGATCGGATGGAGGAGACCTGGGCGAGGCATCGGAGTTTCGTGTATATATGGGGGTTTCCCAAAAATAGGGGTACCATCTTAAAGGTCCCAGTATTAAGGATTATAGTATTTTGGGGTCTATATTGGGGTCCCCCTATTTTGAGAAATTACCATATAGTATAGGGTTTACGGTTATGTGTGGCTAGGGGCCTTGTTTTGGGCTAAGGGGCATTCGGGGGCTGTAGGATCAAGGTTTTGGGTTCAGGGGTCAGGTGTTGTGGTGTAGCTTTTCGAGTTCAGGGTGTAGGTTGTAAGATGGGGCACTGAAGATTATTCAAAGGTTTTTTATTCCTCCCAAACGACACCGTTTAACCATACTCATGGACCAGAACTCTCCAGGTTAGCGGTTAGGGTATAGGGGCTCATGCGGGTACTCATGAAGAATCATCATTAGCCGCCATTCCCTGATCATCATGGGCAGCAGCTATGACTCACTCCGGGTAGACATGAGAAGGACTCGGGATTGAATACCGGGCTCCAAAAAGGGAGAACATTGCGTCACAGGATTTCAAATCATGCTGGGTATCTGGCCCGGGGGTGTCTAGGAAGTAGGTCCCAGGTAAACATCCGATAGCAACTCGTTTTGGAATTCCTACCGTAGTTCGTGATGGTAGTAGTGCTCGTGCAGGACTTCTGTCTTGCATGAGCGGTGTTTCGGCGAACTTCACACGAGGGAATTCAGCCTTACCCTGGCAATTTTTGATGAATGCCCTTCTGTAGGGGCGCCATTTTCAGATGTCGGACGACCCGTACGGAGATTTCCCAAAGCTCTTCCTCCCCCGCTTAAGAGCCTCTCCTATTCTTCTAGCTTTGTAGTTGCAATTCTCATTCGTAAGGGGTACCGCAACCCCTTACTTGAGAACACTCATGTAAGAAGTTGCCCCAGTCAACCTGGGGCATGCCCAAGAAAGAAGCCCCAAGTAAGGTTTAGGTACGATTTGTAGATAGTTTCTCCGAGCTTCCTATGATTTCTTTTGGGAATTACCGTTGGGGTGGAGATCCTGTGCAGACATTTCGAGTGTTCCCCCAAAATGGCATCTCTTAGCCTAGGGATCCTACTTGGAGGGTCATGGGGACTTAGGAAGTAGGTTAATAGCCCCTATAAGCCACACAATAATCGCAATTATCCCCATTATGAACCTACTTACTAAGTCCCCATGACCCTCCAAGTAGAGGTCAATGGCATCTGTTGGGATCGTGTACTGATTACAGGCGGCCCCCTAAATGACTACATCTGAGAAACCCCTACCTACAGATCCTACTTGCAGGTTCATGGGAATTCCCCGTGAACCTCCAAGTGCACCCATCAATGCTGCTTTCTAGTCTCACGCAGGTGGAGAGAGGACAGATGCACAGTGCCATCGAGGACGCATGCTGCATGAGGGTTTGGGTTTTGCGTGCAGATAGTTCGACTTGACGTTTTTTGAACCTCGTCATCAGTGCATATGGGGCGTCTATTTTGACACAGTGGTGATTGCAGGGGTGCTGTGAAGGACTTCACAGACTTTTGCTACGGGCACACACAACTGTTGCCAAAACATGCAACTTTCTCTTTTTGCCAGCCCTACAACGCTAAGAGGCATGCGATGTGCATTGTCTTGTAAGGCTTACTGCCCGCAGGCTAAGGGGGTCAGGTCAAAGCAAGTTCTGCCGGGTGGAGGAGAAGAGACTGGGGCGGGGGCTTTGAGGCTTGCGCTTTCAGGGGGGGGGCGTTGTTTCTGTCCTTGTAATTACGATTCCCATTATCATGCTCCTGGTGACTATCGTGTGAAATTTTCGTCAGTGGTAGCATCATTATCATCATGTATGCAAGCCCCTTTCAGGCATCTAGAGCCAGCAGAATACTACATTTCACAGATGTAATGAACTTGACGCCCCCAGGCAATTTCAATCCATCCCTGTGACAGCACCATCTGAAGTCTCTTGTCATACCTAACCCGTCTCCTGGCTTTCTTCCTCTTAGAGTGCAACACCTAGATAACACCTAGGTTGGAAATTTCACGGCGTTTTTCACCACTTGCGTGTGTGTGTATATATATATATATCATATACACGTTTTGACAGGTATTCCGCAGCATCCTTGCTAAAAAGGACCCCCAGAACCTCCAGCTCCTGACTCTCCTCCAATGGCTGGAAGCACCCCCTCTTCCCCCGAAAAGCAATCCTATATCCTAGGTTGGGCCTGTACGACACTAAGACAAAGCAATGAATGTTTGGGCCCCTACATTTTCCATCATTTTCCTACCATGCCACAACTAGGGGCTTAACCCAACCAATATCCACCAGACTGACATTACTATTATATTACTACCATTACTATTATTACTACGATTATTGTCATTACAAGTATTTATTTTTTACTACTATTATTATAAGAATAATGATACAATTATTACAGTTTTTAATGTTTTTTCTGACTGTGATTACAATTCTTACTTTTAGTATTACTATGATAGTTCTTATGTTTAATGTTATTACTATTACGACTATGGCATGAGGCTACGCTCTTCGATCCCGAGCTAGAGCTTGGTTGCCCCCTTGGGCCAGCAATGCTCCCAGTCTGCTTGGGGCTCCTGCACCCTCCTTGTACCCTTAAAGCAGCAGTATATGGCCCCCAATTTAGGGTAAAAAGGAGGTAGATGGAGGGTCTGGGCTTACTGTATGATTTTAGGGTCTGGGGTCTTGGGGCTAGGATTTAGGGTCTAGGAATTAGGGTTTAGGATCGCCGCTCTAGGAAAGCTCAGCACCGCCAAGGTGCCAGGAAGACTTATTTGATCTCTGTTTTTTGCATCGGGGTTTCTCAAAATGAGGGGCTCCAGAGACTCCGGGGATATGCCTCCAGGATGACGGAGGCATTGTAGGCGTCCCCCTGAGGACTACGTGAGAACTTTTTTCAGCAACTACCAGGGCACCAGTTCCGGGCGCCTTCCATGCACCCTCCAAAGACCATTGCCGAACCTCGCAGCATCTTGTTCTCAGTTTAGCCTTCTGGTTTCAGAGTCGCTCTCCGCGTCAGAGGCAAGGCCATGGCTCGTGTTGCGAGCATCCTTTTCGCAGCATCCCTTCAAGCGATTGCTGCCAATGAGATCTTGCTGGCTTCCTTTGATGGTGCCGCAGGCAGTACGCACCACTGGCAACAGATGAATGATCCCATCATGGGAGGTAAGTCCACGGGAACGTTCACGGTGGCCGATGGCAAGGGAATTTTCAGCGGAGAGGTCGTGGACGTCCCTTTCCTCAAAGCTCCAGGCTTCATCAAAGCATCAGTGGTGGATATGAATCCCTCCGGCCGTATCTTTCCTGACATCTCCGCATGCAAGAACATTGCTCTGACCGTGAAGTCTGAGACTGACTACAAGGGCTTCCGCTTCTCCATCGGCAACGCACATGCTCCGGGCGGGAAGTTCCATGCATACGGCTACAAGGCTGACTTCAATGCGGCACCTGCGGGTCAAGTCAACACTGTGACCCTCTCACTGACCAGCTTCACTGACTACTGGGACGATGCGACCGGCGCGGCGATCAAGACCTGTCAGGACGATAAGATTTACTGCCCAGATGCTGCGACTCTCAAGGACATGAGGACCATGGGAGTCTGGGCAGAAGGAGTAGCAGGCAAGATCCATCTCGAGATCGTGAAGGTGACGGCCACTGAGTGCGGCTCCCGAGACATGATTGTCTGAGCAACTTGCTTGCCAGCTACAGGTAGTTGCAAAGCCCAGCGAGTGGCATGGTGCCGTACAGAAGCGAAGATCGTGCCCCGAGAGCCTTGTCATTTGCATCTCTCTTGTGCAGAGGTGTGTATAGCCGTCCACCCTGCTTCTTTAGACTCAGTGACTCTGCTTGGGAGTCCAGCCGCTGAAAGCCCGATGCAGTAACAGCACAAGCCATCCGATTTCTGCCAGCTGCAGCTTGCAGTGGTGCGGTGATAGATTGTTGCAGGACAAATTTGCATGCGCCCTGAACATGGTAATTTTCTCAAGACAGGGACCTCAATATGGTAGCAAATATATTAAAATCCTTATTATGGGGACTCCCAATAAGGGTACCCCTAATTTTGGGAAACTCCCATATGGTGTTACGTGCAGAACTTTGGCGCGCTGCCCCCCAGTGCTGAGGTCCTCACCGATGCAGGCTACCATCTCCTGATGGCGAGGCCTGATGGGGGCTTGTTGCCAAGATAGGACGATAGTCCTTGCCTCTTAAGCGTCTCACTAACGAATACTTGTGACTTGAGTAGTTTCCAAAATGAGGGTCCCATTGTGGTACCCCTAAATATCAGGTGCCGCAATAATTCAAAAAAAGGCTCATAAGTTTGAGATTTACCCACTTGGAATTCTGGTAAGCAGTCGAAGAAAAGCCCAGTCATGTTCCTCCCAGGAAGAAGAGCCGGGGAATCCTTTCCACCACAGCTCCCTGGTTGCAGCATCAAGTGGTACGGCAGGCGTGGAGTTGAACGGATCCAAATCTTCAGGCAGCTGCGCCATCCAACTACATGCCACGGTTTAGGGTTTAGGGTTTAGGTTAGTTCCCAAAATTAAGGTCCTATTTGGGTACCCCCCCCTCCCCCAAGTACTACAGAATAGATCTATAGCACATATCAGGACAGCATTTGCTGCCGGGGTGAGGACACCAAAGAGCCTGTCAAGTCGAGGTTGCCGACATATGAGCCATAATTTGAATTCTGTAAATAAGCGTATATAAGGGTTTCTATAGGGGACTACGATAGGGGCTATCAAGGGGGATACTAGGAGTTGAGACTATAGCTCATACAGCCCCTCCGCCCGACAGACCCCAACGGCGCCCGCAAGCCTGAACTTCAGAAGCCTGCCGGTAGCGTTCCCATGCCATACCCAACAGCAAACGCCATACCTGATCATCGTAGAATCCATGAAGCAACATTATGATCACCTGCGCAACCCTATGCACCCTAGAAACGCTAAAGCCCAGCGTACCTTCCCATGAAGCTTGTAGTTAAGCCCTATAAACTCCTAGATAAAGCCGTACCCAAAAGACCCTGCAAGCCTTAAAGCCCATATGTACACTCTAAGGCTGGTAATCAAACCTTATAAGCCCTTGGAAGCCCTCAGGTCTCGGCGAGCCACATCCTGGTGCGTCCTGGGCGCTACCAGGCTCCGGCTTGCGAGGCACTGGGCGCAGCCGGATATAGGAGGTTTCCTAAAGTTAGGGGTACCCTTAAAGGGGTTAATAAGGGGTGGAAAAGGTCTATATAGGGATACATTAGGGGGATATAGGGTTTAGGGATAAAGATTTCCTAAGAAAATGAGGGGTACCGTTTTGGAGTACCTAGAATGAGGATCATCGTATTCGGTGTGTTTATTTTGGGAAACTCATACAGAGGGATGTAGGGGGGGGGGTATAGGGACACAAGGATGTAGAAGTATTTAGAGGGAGGTACGGTGACATGTAAATACTATATGTATATATATATATA